TACAGCAACAGAGAAGTAGGGCCCTCTGCCTTCATCAGAGAAAGGTCTCTTTGAAACAGCTACAGACCAGTACAGAAAAAGACAAGTCAAAACGCAGAGAATAAGGGAGCCATGGGGCTCCCAGGTGACCCATCTGCAACACAACTGTTGCACCGAAAGCTCAGGGAAGACTATGGAAGAGGGGCCAAAGATCTGAAAGAGAATCAGGAAGTGTGAGATTCTGTCTCCTAGAAACGACAGGGATGTTTCACCCATGATGTCGCAATAACACGGCTGCCTCAATAAGACTTAAAGAACAACACCAGTCAGTACGCTACCGGGGAAGGGGGAAGTCTTACGGGGCCTCACCCACAGACAAAGAATTACAGGCAACCAAGGACTGCTTAAGAGAAGAATCTTCCCCAGGGATGAGCCCCCAATTACTTATCCCATACCAAGTTGTCAGCCCTGAAATCATGCACATGTAAGTAATACAGAGCAGGATGTGTGTGTATGTGTGTGTGTATGTGTACATACATGATATAATTGGCATATATACATATATATATTAATTAAATAAGAAGAGGCAAAGATTTTGAGAGTAAACAAGGGGGTAGTACATGGGAGAGACTGGAGGGAAGAAAGGGAATGGGAAAGTGATCTAACTATATTTTAATAAAAATAAAAATAAACAAAATATTATTGCATATCCTAGTTTATTTTCCTGTGGCTTTGATTCCAGACCCCAGCAGAAGCAACTTAAAGGAGAGTGGGTTTTATCTTGGCTCAGAGTTGGGTGCAGTCTATCCTGATGGGGAAATCAAAGAGCTTGAGGAAGCTGTCTACACTGTATCCAAAGTCAGAAAGGAAAGAGAAAGGTATGCTAGTATTTACCTAGATTTTGCCTTTAGTTACAATAAGTTAACCACATAGTTTCTTCTTCCTTCTCTTCTTCCTCCTCCTCCTCCTCTTCCTCCTCTTCCTGCTCCTCCTCTTCTTCTTCTTCCTCTTAGTCATCTGTTCCCCTACCCCCAATTAAGGTTAATTTGTGCTGTTCACATATTTTTGGACATGCGGCCTTCCACTGGAGTGTAGTCAACTTGCAGGGGCTACATCCTTAAAATAAATGGATCTGATGACTTTTCCTAGCACCAACCATTCCTAGTAACTAACGTCTTGGCTAGGGCTGGAACTTTGTTCCCGGCTCCCCTATTCAGGTGGGATTTGTGTGTGCTGTCACAGCGTCTGTGAGTTCATAGGTGCAGCTGCCCCGTGGTGTCAGGAAGTCACAGTTTCCTTGTGAGCATCCATACCTTTGGCTCTCACACTCTTTCCACCCTTTCTTCCACAACAGTCCCCAAGCCTTTGGAGGAGGCACCCTCCCAAAGACGTTCCCTTCAGGGCTAAACATTCTCCAGTCCCTTATTCCCTGCACTCTGGCCAGTTGGGGGTCTCTTAGATGCTCATTGTCTACTGCAAGAAGTAGCTTCTCTGCTGAGGGCTGAGAGGTGCCTTAATCTGTGGCTATAATGATGAGCCATTAGGAGTTGGTTTATTATTATACCGATTTAGCAGAATTATAGAATGGATTTCCTTCCAGAGCCTATGACCTTTCAAGCTATAGGTTCTTGGTCCAATAAAGGTGACAGGAATGATTTCTTCTTGTGGAGAGGGCCTTAAATCCAATCAAAAGTTGGTTATTCTTTTGTTATTTGGGCAACTATTGCACCAGCAGGTGTGTCTTGCCAGTCATTATTGTAGCTTAAAGGGTCCACAGCTACATAATACATAAGGGTATAATGAGTACTTACTTTTGTCTTTTTGTTGTATGCTTAGAATCTTCTAGCACTATGCAATCTAACTAGTAGGGATGAAGCTTCCAGTTGAGTGCCCTGTCCTAGGACTTGAGTAGGTGTGTCTTCAGCAATACTTAGGGGGTCTTACTGTCAAGCTCTGGAGTGTTGGCAATATCCTGTAATATTTTGAAGTCTTTGAGACCTCATTGGCCAACAATTTCAAAATAAGTCATCCAATCCTGGAAGTAGGCATTTTATTTGCTAGTATGTGCTGTCTGCTGTCTAGGAGGGGCATCGCTGCTCCATTATAGGATAAAGATAACTACATTTTTAAAAAAAATACGTTTATTTTTCTCTCATAAAAACATCCTGACCACAGCTTCTCCTCCCTCCACTTATCCCTCTCCCCTACCTTCTCCACTTCCTCTCTGCTGACTGCTGTGGTGGTGCATACAGGTAGGGGTAGGGCTTGCTGAAGGAGGTAAGAAGCAGGAGGATCACGAGTTCAAAACCAGCCTGGGCTACTAATTTTAACTCTTTTTATGTATGTATATAGATGTATTTTAGGAAGGCTCCTCAGTAGTAGGTTTCCCTGTGACTTTTTAGAAAAGTCTTGAATGACTATAGGCCAATATGTTAATGAAGATAGATACAAAGATTCTCAATACGATGCTTACAAAACACACTCAAGAACACATCAAATATATCCATCATTATCAAGCCAGCGTCATCCTAGGACGCAGAGATGGTTCACTCTCAGTAAACAAATGTGTTGTGCTAAGGAGGGTGAACTCTCTCAAGATTGATTTATTTCAGCCCCACCTCCTGCACATGGCTACCAGCTAGAAAGGGGAAATAAATAAAGCATTCTCGTTGATCCCAACAACACCTTTGTATCCCTTGAAAGGCACGGCTTCTATAATCAAGAAGGCATGGACTGGAAACTCCTGTTGGTATTGTAGAGCAGCTATGAGAAAGCTCTAGAGCCACGGTTCTCAACCTATGGGTCGCGACCCTTCCGATTTTCCACAGGGGTTCACGCATCATATAGCCCGCACATCAAATATTTATGTTAGGATTTATAACAATAGCAGAATTACAGTTATGGAGCAGCAGCAGAACCAATTTTATGACTAGGGGTCACCATTGCATGAATGTGAAGAGTTGTATTAAGGGTCACAGCATTAGGAAGGCCTTGGAGACTAGGTACAGTCTCAGGAAGAGAACTTGGTGAGTGTGAAGGCTGGGCTGGGGCTGGGGCAACACTGGCTCTGAAAAATATGTTTGACAGTCAAATATACCCGAACTCACTCCCTGCTTCACTTTGGATCTCGGGGCCTGCTCGCTTGCTAGAAGCATGTAAGATTCCCAACTTACGCTGCATCAGATACGGCAAAGAAACCGCAGCATTTGCTATTTATTGAAACTGGGTGGCTAGCTCTTCAAGTGCTGTAGGCAAAAGGCTGTGATTCTTCCACCAGGGGCCTCAATGGGCCATATCACAGGTGAGACAAGAGGCCGAGAGAGTCCTTCGACAGCTGGAGAATCCGTGATCCTCCAACACTCCCGTGGAAAGGTCCCATTGTGTGACTCCCCTGAGATGCTCTTTGGTCGTCGTCTCTGACTTCTGGCATCACGCTCTGGAACTGTTTCTTTTCATGCCTGCATCATGAATAGTGAACTTGTCTCTTAGTGGTGTGGTTTCTGGGGAAGCTGGAAGGGCCTGCTAGTGGAAGTGGGAGCAGAGACCTTAGGGAACGGCTGAAGGAAGTCCTGTCATTTCTTGAAGCTACTCACGAAGGACGGATGGTGACAAAATATGAGCCACGGCTCAAAGCAGTGAGTCAGGATTCGCAAGGTTGAACACTATCATGAGTATTCGATCATGGTACCACTTCATTAGAATGTTTTTGTTCCAAATAACTTTATTTTCATCCCATTCACGTTTCCTGAGATTTTTACTTAAACAAATAGCTTGTTAGTTCCTCTCCTAACCCCACCAACCTTTAGCTGAATGTAGCTTAAAACCAGAGAATTCTCTCTGCAAGTTCGGGGCTTCTGGTGGTTTACTGCCGTGTTCCTTACAAACAGGAAGTCATAGCATGACATTTCTATGTATTAAACGTGGGGACAAGAATTCCTGTTTGCTGCGAGACAAACAGCTAATCACACAGGACTATGCATTAAGGAAGTTTTTCAATGCTTCTTATTTGTACAGAGAGGGCTGGTGCCCCCGGAGTAGAATACGGAGTAAAAGAGAACTCAAAAGGTCTGATGCTTCCCAAGGAGAAAATCTTGACAGCATGATCGCTGGACTAAGGGCAAGAAAAAAAAGCTTTAAATTTCCATAAAAATTAATAGAAAAATGAATTTTTCATTACTTTCAGAAATTCTCACTTGGATTTTTTTTCTTATTTAGTCACCAAAAATATTTGAAAAAGCAGTTTTTAATTATCCTTTAACGCCAGTTGCTACTTCTTTAAATACCATGAAATTCTGGCGCCCTCTCCTGGTCAGAAGTTTTAAGTATTCTTTTATGTGTCCTGGCACTATTTCCTCAGGTGAGCTGTTTTCTGACCAATGAAGAGGGAAGAGGGCTTGCCTCAAGGTACCAAAATAAAACTAAAAAAAAAAAAAAAATCCAGTATCCATACCACAATGTCTTTTATACCAGAAACACCAATGGGTGTCTGAAGTCCCTTGAGGCACTACATTAACCTTTATCAGGAGAACTAAATTAAGGAACCATAGCCATAAAACCCAAACCAAAGCAAAACCTCCTGAGAGCCTTGTTGTTTATAATGCTCCTAGATAGTGATTTGACCCAGTAAAAGTGGACGTGGGACTTCTAAAATCTTTCATTAAAAAGGAGTCAGCTGTAGTGTTAACAGTGGCAGTTGACGCATAATCTGGGCCCCACTCAGACTCAAGCTTCCTTGCAAGAAGGAAACACCCAAGTTTTAACTCCCTGTGTACACCAGGTTGGTACATCACCCCCCACAGTGCTGTCATGGCGGGAAACGTGACCCTCAAACTGGCAGCACAGGACATTACCAATAAAATGACACTTACTAAGAGTCAATTTAAGGGCTGAATATTTATCAAACTTCAGTGTAAAATTCTCTGAAACTAATTGGGCCAGCTTTCCCAGTGTGAAGCCCGATTTCCGCATCATTTCCTGACTCTTAAAACCCAAGGCGCCCTCATGATGACACCACATTCGGCTCTTGTTCATTCATTTTATTTTTACAACACTGCAAAATGAGGAAACACCTGACGTGTGATGACTTTGCACAGTGAAAACCACCTTGACCATGTCTGACGTCACAGGGATGGGGGGTGAGGGGTGGGCGAGCAGGTGCTTCTGGAGGGTGACCCACCCTCTCCCAGAAGAAATGGTTTTCGGTGTGGTGAGAGGAAAGGAAAACCAACCTGTCAATCATTTAAATGACTTCACAACAGGACATAATTTACATAGTAACTCTTTTATACTAGTATAAAAATAGTGCCCGAAACTATATATTTGTTCAGATATATTGAAAAGGCGTAAGAATACAAATAGACATCAACAGTGGCATGGGATGGTTCATTGGGGTTCTTAACCAGCAATAGAAATTTCTATTTTCAGCTATTTACATCCGTTTCAATAACATTCAAGACATGTCTACACAGGCTTGTTGGTAAGAATGAGGAGGGGTGAGGTAAGCGTTAATACTTCCTTCTTTGTTCTCCGTGAGAGGGCAGAAGGGGTCCATGAGAACTCTGACCTCTCTCTCCCTGACGGAAATATGGAAACACGGTCTACATCATGGAAGATAGGGCGTCTTACACAAGGCGTTCTTCAAGCTGTCAGCAAGTGAGCAGATCCGTGCTGACAGGAAGACAGGCTGTTCACAGACATACTAAGAAATTTGGATAAAAGTGCATAGTGTGTGTTACAGGTGAGGAGGAGAGTGAAGGGGTGCCCTCTACGTTTGCATGTGAAGGTGGCGGAATGAGAGACGATGCTCCTAGTCACTTTCTGCACAGCCCGTGAGCTCCGTGGAGTTACTGCTCTGTCTCGGCCGCTGAGTGTGGTACCTAACATACGGAGAGGGTTTAGTAAAAGGTGGGATGATTCACGGTTGATGCAGAGTAAATAAGTTCTGCCACCTTATTTGAAACTGCTGTTTACAGGAGAGCAAGGGACCACTTTATCTTTTCTCATCTTAAATCGGGTAAAGAAAAGGCCTCGCTGCTTACATGCTATGGATAAGCAGTGTAATCTAGAGAAAAACACAGGACATTTGGAAATGTAATAGGTGCCAAGCCTCATGCATCCGCAACATTCTGGGAGTAAAGGCACTTTACTGGTAGGCAAAAATCGTCTGGGATTCCAGTTCCTCCAAGAAAGCAATACTACTAGTACATTTTCAACTTCTTCCTTGTCTCCAGGTGGCTGCTAACAGAAACTCTTCTTCGCAATTAATCCACCAGTGATGAAGCAGCATCCTCGGGGTACGCTCTGAGCCAGGTCTGTGTGGAGCGGATTAAATGTACTTGCTTTCCATCTGAGGAACTCGGCATGAGAAGTGACCTGCGGGATGAGGTCACGTCTCTATTTCCATACCCCGTTTCCGACAGTGGTCTCAGAGGCCCAGAAGGAAGGCTTAGGAGCTAGCTGCCTCCTGTGACATTTCCCTGGAACATAGGCTTTGTCCAAACCTGACTACATTAGGAACACAGCTCCCTTAGGTGCAGAGGCTAATTGATTTATACACATAGTATCAAGACCGGCAAAGGCCAGTCTTCTAACCATCGAAGATCAGAAAGCTTTCTAGACAAGTTACCAAAACACAGATTCTTTTTCTGGCTAAAAAATTAAAATTAAACGTTATCATGTTATCTCACTACAGCCAGCCAAGCAATTAACCAGACAGTCTAGGACAACAATGATGTCTTGTTCATTATGGGCAATATCAATACATGGCAGCATAAGGGAGAGATTATAATAATATAATATAATAAATATAATCCAACTTGAGAGGATACTAGAAAGGAAATATTCACATTCAGAATGAAAGCTATGATTTGTGTTTTTGTACCACAGACAGAAATTCCATGTATGGAATGGTTTTCCTATAAAATAAAAACTATTTGAATAAAATAGTACTCTCTTCAGTAGGAACTAAACTATCCAGCAATGACATAGCATAGGCATGGCACTGCTCTTCCTGTTTTAATGCCTATACTCGTAGGTAAAATAAACCATTGCCTAAAGCGAGCTAAACGATTTCTTCTCGGACTTCTTGCTTGTTAACACCACAGACAAATCCTCCACACATAATGTCGCCTTTAAAGATGTTCTCAGTGGTTGGCACTCCAAATGTGTATGCCCGCATTTCGGCATAACTACTCGGTCACAACGTGTGGGGTTCAGTGCTAGGCTGAGAGAATGTCCTCTAAGCCTGAGTCTGCACTCAGGAGTTATGGATGCATGCATACATGTATATACAGTGTGCTGATATGACTATTGTTGGTGATGGTTTATGTAATTTACACACCAGTGCATTAGAGGCAACCTTACAAATCTCATCTACGTGATATGAAAAGCAAACAAAATGATATTCTGAAAATACAAGTATCACAACAATAATACAACTGGCATCGGGCAACAACTGCCTGGGTTGGCCTTCACCCATACAAAACATAACTCACTTTGCCTTCTCGTATCTGAGTAAGAGCAAGGCCACAATAAAATGTACATACACAGGATCCAAAATGAACATGTTGCGTTTTAAGCAAAGAGAAAAGGAAAAAGAAACCATTTCAATCCAAATTAATGTTAGAAACCCAGATCAAATATTTCACCCAGTTTGGGAGGAGGTGGGAAAAGGATGGAAGTTAATAAATCAAATCCTTCAATTTCTCCTCAAACTCAAACATTTCTGCACATTTGGAACAGATACTCCTCCCTACTTGAGCTGCTCGATTTGATTCACTATCTGCTCCCGATACCGAAGGCTGCTTTTATTCCAACACGAAGATCTCACACTGTCCCTTTGAACTCATTGTCTGAGCTCCCTTTTAGAGACAAACCTCTGTCGCAACTCGTATAATTATTTTCTTTTCCTGTAGATTTGACAGAGGAACAAAGGCTAATTTTCACTTTCATACATGTGGTCATGTCTAACTTCAGGCAAGAGGTCCTGTGACCACTTTTCTGTTGAAACTTAATTGCTGGATTAAGGAGATGAAAAGTTAAAAAGAAATTAGTTTTTGAAGTTTTCAGTATTTAAAATGCGGATTGTCAGAAAGATCTTCCAGTGAAACATTTCTCTTGGCTTAAGGCTCTTCCGGGCCCTCCCACGTCTGGCACACACTCTCTCGTGGGAAGGTCAGTGGGTGGAATCATCTGGCCCTGGGCTTTAGGTAGGGTTCTGAGATTGTGTGCTGAAGGGCTACTGCGTGGATTGGCTCTAGTGTTTTTTGCTCTGCCACACAGGCGACATGCAAGGTAAGCTGTTCCCATCACAGAAAGAGCAGAGCAATTAGATACCACATTTTCTTGTTTCTCAACACCTTAACTTTGTTAAGACCCTTCACGTTTATATTCATTTCTCCCCTAAAATCCACTTGGTCAACATTCATCTCATGATCGCTTTAAATGTCCCAGAGCATAGTCAACGGGCGGTGGTGACGCACGCCTTTAATCCCAGCACTCAGGAGGCAGAGGCAGGCGGATCTCTGTGAGTTCGAGACCAGCCTGGTCTACAAGAGCTAGTTCCAGGACAGGCTCTGAAGTCACAGAGAAACCCTGTCTTGAAAAAAAAAACCAAAAAAACCCAGAACATAGTCAATTTGTCTCTAACCTACTTTTTGAGAAAGATTTCTAACATGTTTGAAAGACTGGTGACTCAGAAACACAAAGACAGTTATTTATAATTCCCAAGCAAAACCACACTGAGTGTAGGAATGCCATTTACACCATTCCTATCAATGTGTTCAACGTGAAGACGACTAACCATTTCGCTTCAGTGGCAGAAAACCAAAGTAGAGAAAGTAGGTAGCAATCTCTAAGACACTTCATGCTATGCTCTCAAAAGTTGTGCATAAACAAAATACAGCAGTGGCAAAGCGCACACAAGTACGTATGGTGTATGGAGCAACCAGGCCTGCGGCAGTTGGCACATGGGGACTGCACCGTCAGTCTCGCTTGGCCTGGCTGCTCTCCCCGTTAATGAGCATCTTCTCCTGCTGTTCTGCAAGGGCCTGCCACTTCTGTCTGTTTTTCCTGCAGCCGTCCAGCAGGGGCAAACAGTCCTCTGAAACGTGGGTCAGGGCCTAAAAAGAGAAAGGAAAGAACTAGAAGGAACCCTCTGTCACAGGCTTGCCACCAGGGGCCACATTCACTGCGTGAACAGCGACACAGGCGTCTTTCTCTTAAGTCCTAGGAACACATGCACACGCATGCACGCACAGACGCACGCACAAGCAGTATTTATCAAGGCTTTCCCTTAAGCTATACATCTAAGGAGGCATACTTGGGGACAAAGAGAGCACAGTGACAACCTAGGGGGCCTGAAGGAGAGGTTGAGGCGAGTATTGGTGTAGCATGTATTGTTCTTGTATAGGACCTGAGTTTGGTTCCCAGCACTCATGTCAGGCAGCTCACAGTTGCTGGAACTCCAGAGGGATCCATTGGCTCTGGCCTCTAGGGACACTTGCACTCGTGTGCACATACTCACACAAAGACACACATGATTAAAAATAAAAATGACTCTGAAAACTGGAAACCGCTGAGCTGTGGGGGCTCATTTGTGTGGGTGTACTGTTTGTCTGGATGAAAGCTGGCTCTCTGACGGGGCTGTGGCAGCCATGCCTGGGCTTTCCCACAGATGGTTTTGCGCAACGTGCTTTTCAATGCAGGACTTTCACAAAGATTATTATTACCAAGTGCCGTGCATTTAGCTACAAGAACATTCGCCGTAGCTTTCTTTGTCATGGAGAAATGACAAACGCCCAACAACAAGGCTTAGTAATATTTTGTGAGCATTTTATGGTCATTACAAATATCTCAGACACATGTCTGGTGTGGAACTACGTGTGTTGTGGCATGAATTTCAAGAACCAATTTTTATTAAAGGACATGAGAGCATCTTACGGCACACACTGACATCGGTGGTTATCTCTAAACAGACGATCTTCTATCGTCCTCTTTGTTTCTCGGGACTTTGCTCTGCAGTGAGAACACACTACTTCCATGATAAATGCAAAACACCCTTTGGGATCACACAGAATTCCCAACAGCACAAACAGTGTGTACACGAACTGCACAGATTACGCTAGTCTTTCTCCTGGATTACAGGGATGGGGGGGGGAGGGCGGACCAAGAGCCATGGGTCTCATCAAGTGAGAAGCTCTTTATTCAATCAACAGGGCAAGTGTCTGTCAGACAAAGAAGGTCATAGGGTGCCTAAAACCCTGCCTCCAGCAGCTTCTGAGGAAGGACTTCACCAAGGAGGAAACTAGCCAAACATGAGGACTGTGGGAAGATAGTGCTGTAGAGGTGACCTGGTGGCCTTTTCTTCTGTTTCCTTTGATGTTTTCTGTTCTACTTCTCCTTCTTCCTCATCAGCAGGATTGTTTATTAAACCCTTTGATGCTTGTGGTGGTTTGAATAAGAATTACCCTCAGGCTCATAAATTTGAAGGCTTAGTAACCAAGGCTGACTAAGGGGTGACACTATTTGAGAAGGATTAGTAGGTGTGGTCTTGCTGGAGGAAGTGTGTCACTATGAGTGGGTTAGGTTTCAAAAGCGCAGGACCAGGACCAGGACACCCCCACCCTACCTCTCTCACCCCATGCATGTGGACCAGGATGTAGCTCTCAACTACTTCTCCAGGACCAAGTTTGTCTGCATCTGGCCATGATGAAAATGAACTAAACCTCCGGAACTGTACACAAGCCCCCAATTAAATGCTTTCCTCAATAAGAATTGCCTTGGTCCTGGTGTCTCTTCACAGCAATAGAACTAAGACAGTGCTAGAACCATGCACTAAGAATAAGAACTGGAGACCTGGTGTGGTGGTGCACACCTATCCCAGCACTCAGGAGGCAGAGGTAGGTGAATTCCTGTGAGTTCAAGGCCAACCTAGTCTACAAAGCAAGTCCCAGGACAGTCACTGCTATTACACAGAGAAATCTAGTCTAGAAAATAATAGCAATGATAAATTTAAAAACTGAATTCTCCATTGGGCTTTCCACCAACTACCTATTTGGGGCAAATACTCTTTCTCTGCAAGATGAACTTTACACATCCAGTTACTGAATATGCAATGTCTGGATTGGAAACTTTGTAGTTTTTGTCTGATCTTAACCTTTTATGACAACCCCAGGGTAAATTTCTCAAAGAAATAAAACAAATCCATTTGAACTTTTAAAAACAAAGGCAGCATCTCTTTTCTTTGCTGGGGCAAGAAGCAGCTATACCAAGACTTTGAATAGATGCATCTTTCTTTTTAATCAGAACAACAAAAGCTACAAAAAGCAAAGAGGCAAAACTAGCAAAAGAAGGGAAACTGGAGCCCATATTCCTGCAACCTCCTGCTGTTGGTATTAATAAAAAAAAATTCTTAACAATATCCAAGCCACAGTATGACAACGAGAAAAAGCTGGGTAACATTTTTTTTGTACTTAGGCTAAAATTAAACTTTTAAAAAATAACGCTACCACAGAGTGTGCAGGAAACATCTCCCGGAGGGCAGCACCAGCACATGCCTCTTAGTGCCCCCCAAATGAACGCGTTGGTGTACAGCACACCCTAGGCCCGCAGCAGATATTTATACACCGAGTGAGTCAATGCCTTTGTGAAACAGCACATGCGGACTGTATCTCCTGTTCTGTACAGCATCACATGCGTCAGCAGGAAGAAACAATACCAATGATAATTATGTTTTCTGACTTGGAAGCAAAACTACATGTCTAGCATTAGTCTCTTCAATGTGCTTCAGATTCGACTCATAACATAATCTAAGTTCAGCAATCTAATATCTTACTGTAAATACCTCATACAGCTGCAAGCAGATGGCATCTATGAACCCAACTTGCATACTTGGGATTTTATTTTTCTTCTCTCTGTTCATTAGATCCTGAAAATACACACAGACAAATCTACATTTATTCAAAGTGCACAGGAAAGGCTAGCTGTAAAAAAATGAATCCGTGGTTAGCTTAAGGAGGTAAGACAGCAATAAATATATATTATATTTTATATATTCCTATTATTATTTTATATATTCATAAATATGCATATATACATATATATGTATGTATATCTATATATATTCCTAACCCTAGAAAGAAAAGGGAGAAACTAAAATCTCACATTTGTGATGTATATCTTTATATTACAAGGCTACATCAAACACTTTTAAAGGCTCCTTATGGGAATTTACCTCACAAAACAATAAAGAGGAAGGGGCAGCAATGTGGCTGTTTATTACTGTGCTGTTTATAGCAGTGGATATGGCAAATATTACAGCAAAGAAAGGGCATTAAGTTGTGGCTGCCCTCATTTCATTTAATTACAATCCATATACGTCAAAGATTATATTAGAACAAAAATGGCTTACTAGAAAACTACAAGAAAATTAGGGCATGACTTGTTAGCAATTCTTATTTTCCTAGCTTGCTTTTGCTTTTGCAATCAGTATGGATAATTCTTCTAAAAAGAAAGAAGGTGTTAAAAAGTAAAATGGGAACCTCATTCTCAAGGGAAGGTGTCACAGGAGTACTAAGAAGGAGCACACACTGTAGCCGTGTGTGGTCACATGCTCAGAACTCCAGCCCCAAGAGGCCACGGCAAAAGGATTGCATGACGGAGACCAGTCCGACGGACACAGTAAGAACCTATCTCTACAGCGAGCATAGAATTTAAGAATGTGGTTTAACAGCTCCTACCAGCAAAGCCTCTTACTTACAGCGGGCTCGATGTTGAGTTCTTTTCTCTCTCTGTCCCCTTGATCGAAGAATTCAGCTGCCACGAGTTCCGCTATCTGAAACAGACAGCAGGCTGAGTGCCATTCTTCAAAACCGAGGCTTTGAAGGAAGATAATGGAATCTGGCAAACCAGTTGTTGCCAGCACATCAGTAGCAAGGAAAAAAAAATGAGAAACAGAAATAAGGCTGCATTTGCTTTACCCTTATAGCTACAATCATGTGACCCTCTGGAACTAAGCAGGAAGTGACATGTTTCAGCTTTGCCAAGCCATACCAAGACTGTGCCCATCTGTAAGAATGAACAGCAAGCTATTTAGTAAGCACCCATTTCTTTAATGTTTCTTTAAAAAGCACCAATTCCTTGAGAATTTCACACAACATATTTTGATCATATTTGCCCTTTACTCCTCCTCCAACTCCTCCCTTCCTTGCTTGCTTTCAAATTCATGGCTTCTTTTTTTTTCATTAATTGTTAAAACGGGTGTCTGTGTATGTGTGCACACACATGCACAAGTGTAAACACATAACTGTTGTTTGCTCAGTCAGTATAATGCTACTTGTGTGTGTGTTTTCAGGGCTGACCATGTGGTACTGGATGGGCTCTCCTGGCTGGGGGAGACGGTCCCTCCTGCCCCCACCACTCTTTAGATGTCTGTAGTTCTTAGTGAAGGGCTGAGGCCTTGGGAGCATTCCCCCAACCATGCTGTCAAGTCTATTGGTGTCTCCCTTGTTCAGCTCATGTCTGGGCAGTCACGCTGATGAGGGTTTTATGGATGTGGCTTCTGACATTCCTAGGAGACACAAGGTCACGGCAAACTCCATGCTCTTATGCACCTGTTTATAAAAGATGGGGGTGGGGGAGCAGCACCAAATGTTATATTGCAGCTGGTGATGGGCTTCTGAGTTTCCTGTAATCTCTCGTTTCATCTTTCCCTGCGATTTCTATTGTTGATGAACACCCTGGTTTGTTTATCTTACAGCTTTCCAGAGTCCGGGTTCTGTAGACCACATTTCCATAATGCCCCTTCCTGGGTTCTTGAGGCTCAGCTGGCTGACATCCCATTTTCTCACCAGTCGGTTCCGGCTCCGTAGCCATGGTGCTGGAGATGTACAGTAGTGACTGCTTATATGGAGGCTGCCCCTCCTAGTGTGATACTGGTGATAATTACTGAGGCTTTCTGGAGTCCATTTATTAGGGATTTTCACGAGGGTGACAGTCAACGTCAACATTTCTCAGGTTTGTTTAATTAGCTTTAAGTACCAAGGAAGTTTCCCACGCCAATGATTTGATTATGCTTCAATGTAACTCATATTTGAGAAAGCAGGCTTCTTCTCAGTGTCCCCATTACAAACCCACCTGGTTCTCAAACATCTGCCAAAGGTGACAACAGAAGGTTCCATTTTCACTAATGCCTTCATTATTTGAATTCTAAGGTTTAAACATATTTATGTTCTTCAGTCCTTCTGGGTGCTCCATTTTGGCCACTGCAGGCTTCTTGGATCGGGTGTCTGTCCTCTGGACACACCCACTCTATGGCTTTCTGGGAACGTCTTTGCTTTCGGTATAACAAGGCTGTCTACGCTCACCTTCCTGCTTTGTAGTTCATGTCTTGAGGGAGCCACAGATGCTCCAAGCTGAGTCAGTGAGAGGCCTCAGTCCAGGAGAAACTCAATACCAGTGGCTGGTCATTATGCATAAACTCTTTCAGAGGCGGGACTAGAACACAGCATCACTTCACAGAATGTTTCCAGTTCAGATTCAGGACCAGAGGATTTCTGTATAACGCTTCCTGCCTGAGATCTTCAGCGGCCCATTCGCACTGACAACCCTAGCTGTCAGCACTGACAAAGCGTCTCATCTGCTTTTGTCCCTCGTGGCCTACAATACTAACTGAATAGCGAGCAATCTAAAATTATCAGTAATAATGCTTGTTTTGAAACTTTTCTAGATTTCTGTACTATTTTGCATGTATGAATATTTTTCTTGCCTGTATAACTGTGGACCACATCCAGGCCTGGTATCTGCAGAAGCCAAAAGAGGGCATCAGAGTCAGATGCTGTGGGGCTGGAGTTGCTGATGATTGTGAGCCACTATGTGGGCACTGGGAATCGAATCCAGGCCCTCCGTGAAAGCAATACGTGCTCTTTTTCATTTGTTTGTTTTTATTTATTTTTTTCAAGACAAGGTTTTTTTAGTGTAGTTTTGGCTGTCCTGGAACTCGCTCTCTAGACCAGGCCTGCCTCTGCCTCCTGAGTGCTGGGATTAAAGGCCTGTGCCACCACTGCCCAGCTGTAACAAGTGCTCCTAACCATTTGAGCCAACTGTCCAGCTAAATAATAATCGTTATTAAAAGTTATTTTAGCTTTACATCCTTTTTATGTTCACTGTCTAAATTTCCTCATCACCTAATATTTACTCTTTCTTGTTCTCTTTTCTACATTATTTTGTATCTACGTGTTCATTTGTCTAGATGATAGATAGATAGATAGATAGATAGATAGATAGATAGATAGATAGATAGATAGAGATATGTATCCATAATATCTGTGCCTACATACTACAGGCTAGGATCCACATTTGAGACAGAACATGCAGTTTTAGTTTTTTCTTACATTATACATTCTAAGTCCTCCCATATTCACGAACATTTTGTGACTTCATCTTCTTTAGAGCTGATACAATTTCAGTCTATATTGATACCATATTTTCACTACCTGTTCATCTGCCGACAGACTAGGTTGTTTCCAATCCTTTGCTACAGTGAGTGAGGCAGCCATAAACATGAGGATGCAAACATCTCCGTGACAGAGGACAGAGGCCTGTGAACGTGGGCCCAGGAGGTCACATGGGAGGATGTGTCACATGGGAGCTCTGCTTTCAAGCTTTGGAGAAACCCCCAAACTAACGTCCATAATAGTTGTGTTAACCTGCACCCCCACCAGTGATGAGCAATGGCTCCCTGTTCGCCATATTGTCTCTAACATTTGCTGTCAAATTTGTTGATGAGAGCCACTCTGACTGGGATAATATGGGATCTCAAAATAGTTTTAATTTGCATCTCCCCGATGGCTAGGGATATTGAACACATTTTATAATAGTCACCGGCCATCTGTGTTTCTTTTTAAGAGGACTCTCTATACCTTCATTAGCCCATTTGTTGACTGGCAGTTTTGTTCGCTTGGCAAATTAATTTCTCAAAGCCTAGCAGGCGCAGATTCTCTTACTCTGCGGGTTGGCCGTCTGCTCCGCGGACCTCTTTTCATTTCACAAGGGCCCAGGTAGTCGCTGCTTGTGCCAAGGGCCAGTCTTGTTACAGGAGTTCTATTCGGAAGTTCTGTCATGAAGAATATCCCTCATTTTCATCTGTGGTCTCAGCGTTTCAGGTTTTAAATCAGTTCTTGATCTATTTTGAATTGACTTCTGAGAAGTGGTAACAGATAGGAAGGAACCTTATTCCATTCTCTTGAAGGTAGACAGTGAGTTTTACCAGCACCCTCTGCTGAAAAGGCTACCCTCCTTTCCCCCAATGTATGTTTCGTATTTGTTTGCAAAAAATCAAGGGGGCATTGTAGCACGAATCATAAAAACCCAGTGACAGATATTGGGATTCAACCTGAAGGTCAGACAAACAAAACAGCCAGCCACTGGCTCTTATCACTACCTCTCAGTCTGAAATGGCGACGCTGCTGACAGGAATCTCAGAATGAGACTGTGTCTGAGAGCTGTCTCCTCCCATGCACCACTACTGCTTGGTTTCTATGGCAAACTAGTGGGGCTGCTGGGATTAAAGGTGTGTGTCACCACTGCTTGGTCTGTAAGATTGAACAGAGCGGGTGTTTTACTCTCTGGTCTACAGGCAAGCTTCATTTATTAGAATACAAATAAAATATCACTACACGGGCATAGGTTTGCTGTTTTATTTCTGGGTCCTCTCATCTATTCCATTGGAATACCTGTCCACTTAAATTAAAAAAATATATTTTCTCTATATGGGTGTTTTTGCTTGCATGTACGTATGTACACTACATGCAGACCTAGTGCCTGAAGAGGGGAGAAGAGGGCATAAGATGCCTTGGGATTGGAGTGGACAGTTGTAAGATATCATGTGGGTGCTGGTAGCTGAACCTGGGCCCTCTGGAAGAGCGGCAAGTGCTGACCATCTTTCTAGTCCTGCCCGTTTTTATGATCGGGCCACACTGTCTTTATCACTATAGCTCTGTAGTATAATTTGAGGTTAGGTGTTGTGATACTTCCGGAAGTATTCTTACTCCTTAGAATGACTTTGGCTATTGCTTTTCTAGTTTTATCAAATCTGCTGTTGATTTTTCTTTTAACTTTTTTTTGGGGGGGGGGGATGATGGATAAATGCATAAATATAATTGATAGCAACAGTATAAAATGACATGAAGCTCCACAGTTTCAGAATGGCTCCTCTAACTGTGCAGGATGCACTGAGATGCACAGTGTACCAGTTGCTCTTCTCTACAGCAACCCTGTGACTCACCTACTTACCTCCCACAGGCTCCAAACAGCATCCCTACCCGTCACTGACACCCCAAATCCTAGAAGATTTGCTGGACCATATGATCCAAGTGATAGAGTACTTGCATAGCAGCCTGGACCTGCTGACAAGCCTTCCTCTGTTACAGCCCCTACCCCCAAGCTAGCAACTTTCCTTGTCATTGGTATGTGGGCCAAAGTCACACACAGAAGTGAGGAATTTGCTGTCTCTAGAATCCAGATAGGCCCACCAGCTGCTGTACTTCTTTCTTGGTGGTGTGTAGGAGAGTCTTCTATCTAATTGTTGCCTTCACTGGTTAATTAATAACGAAACTGCTTGGCCTGATAGGTCTGAACATAGGTAGGCGGAGTAGACAGAACAGAATGCTGGGAAGAAGGGAAGTGAGGCAGTTGCCATGCTTCTCCTGCCCAAGATAGATGTGGGTTAGAATCCTCCCGGTAAGCCACCACCTTGTGGTGCTACACAGATTATTAGAAATGGGTTAATTAATATGTGAGAGTTAGCTAATAAGGGGCTGAAGACAATGGGCCAGG